CTTTGGAGCCTGTCTAGGAACTAGCTCTTGTAGACTAGGCTGGTCTCAAACTCTCAGAAATACTCCTTTCACTGCCTCCTGAATGATGGTATAAACAGTATGTGCCACCACCGCCCAGCCCCTTTGCTAAAATTAACCACAAACTAGGTCATAAAGTAAATCTCAACAGATAAAAAGCTGAAAAACATCCTGTATCTTATCGGATCTCTATGGGTTAATTAGAGTTCAACAACAACACAAACTACAGAAATCCTATAAAATTTTGGAAACTGAATAACTTTCACCCGAATTACTGATGAATCAAAGAAGAAATATGAAAGACATTAAAGACTTGCAAGAATTCAATGAAAATGAATGTACAAGATACCTAAATTTCTGGGAAACTATGCAGACAATGCTAACAGAAATTTCGTAGCACTAAGTGCTTTCATAAATAATATGAAAAAATCTCACAATAGTGACTTAATAGCACTCCTGAAAGATCTAGAACAAAAAGAAGCTAACTCACCAAGGAGGAGTAGGCAACAGGAAATAATCAAACTCAGGGATGAAATCAATAAAACTGAAACAAAGAGAACAATATGAAGAAAAAAGGAACCAAAGAGTTGGTTCTTTGAGAAAAATCAAGATAGACAAACCTTTATCCAAACTAACCAAAAGCCAGAGAGAGGATATCCAAATTAATAAATCAGAAATAAAAAGAGGGACATAATAACAGACATTAGGAAATCCAGAGAGAATCATTAGGTCATACTTCAAAAACTTGTACTCCAAAAAATTGAAAAATCTAAAAAAAATGATTTTCTTAATAAGTATCACATACCAAAATAAAATCAACACCAGATAAACAATTTAAATGTACCTATAATTCCTTAGAAAATAGAAGCAGTCATTTAAAACATCTCCACAGTCAAGCAAAGTCCACGGCCGGATATTTTCAGCACAAAACTCTACCAGACTTTCAGTGATCTACTACCAATACTCTTCAAATTGTTCTGCACAATAGAAACAGGATGAGCATTGCCAAATTCTTTTTATGAGACTTCATTTACCTTGATAGCCAAACCACATATAGACTCAATAAGGAATGAAAATTACAGACCAATTTCCATCATGAACATTGTCACAAAAACACTCAATAAAAAGCTGGCAAACTGAATCCAAGAACATATCAAAAAGGTCATCCACCATCATCAACTGGCTTCATCCCAGAGATATAGGCATGATTCGTCATATGAAAATCTGGCAATATAATGCATCATGTAAACAAACTGAAACAAAAACCCAATTGATCATCTCATTAGACACTGAAAAAGACTTTGATAAAATCCAACACTTTTTCATGATGAAGGACTTGGAGAGATCAGGGATACAATGAATACACCTAAATATAATAAAAGCAATATTCAGGAAATCAAAAGTAAACATCAAATTGAAAGGAGAAAAACTCAAAGCAATTCCTCTAAAGTCAGGAACAAGACGAAGCTATCTACTCTCTTCCTGTCTATTCAATATAGTACTTAAGTTCTAGTTAGAGCAATAAGGTACCTTCTCTGACTTTAAGCTGTACTATCAAGCCATAGTAATAAAACCAGCTTGCTATTGGCATAAAAACAGACACTTGGATCAATGAAATAAAATAAAAGACACTGACATAAATTCACACACCTATGAACACCTGATTTTGACAAAGAAGTCAAAATTATACAATGAGAAAAAGACAGCATCTTTAATATATGATACTGGCATAACTAGACGTAGGTATGTAGAAGAAGGCAAATAGATTCATATATAGCCCCATGCACAAAACTCACATCCAAGTGGACCAAATGCCTCAACATTGATCCAGATACACTGAATCTGATAAAAGAGAAAGTGATAAATACTCTCGAATGCATTGGAATAGGAGACAAGTTCCTGAGTAGAACACCAGTATCACAGACACTGAGATCAACAATTAATAAATAGGACCTCATAAAACTGAAAAGCTTCTATATTACAAAGGATACAGCCAATAAGAAAAAATGGCAGCCTACATATGTCCCTCAAAAGAATGGATAAGGAAAATCTGGTACATTTATACAACTCAGCTGTAAAAACAATTACCTCATAAAATTTGCAGGCAAATGGATGGAACTTTAAAAAAATCATCCTGAGTGAAGTAATCCAGACCCAGAAAAAATACGGCGGCAGATAGTTTATTTGGTAAATTCATTCCTATCATTCCAATACTGAGATAAAGATAATTTAGAAATACTCAATTGAATCAGAGTTAAGGAGAAAAATACTATATGCCTTTGCAATTTAGTTATGATAAAAATCCTTACAATATAAAGAAAAGGATTTATTAGGTAGTACATGCAATGTGTAGAAAGAAGGATACTAAAATGTTTGAAAAACATATCAGCCTTGCAATATGTTTGGATTATCTATTTTGACCATTTTCTTTCCCCATACCTATCTCAACTTCAAAGAAAAGAGATCCTAGAGATTTAAAATATTACCTATGATCTAAAATATATGTATTTTATATTTATATTTATTATATGACACACACACACACACACACATATATATATATATATATATATATATATATATATATGTCAACTTTGTGAGCATATAAGGTAGGCTTGGGGCACAGTAGGAACCAAGGAAATGTTTACTGTTAGAATCTCCTTTCCATTCACTATCTGCCATTAAGATACAAAAATTTTCTCCCTCCACTCTTCAACTTCACCTTGGGAACTCAGTCCAGTGCTCCAATGTGGTTCTCTGCCTCTGTTTCTACCTGTTGTTGGATGAAGGTTCTATAGTGATATTTAAGATAATCATTCATCTGACTACAGGGCAAGGCCAGTTCAGGCTCACTTTCCCCTATTGCTTAGGGTCCTAGTTGGGGTCATCCTTGTGGATTCCTGGGAATTTTTCTAGAGCCAGGTTTCTTGCTAACCCCATATTGGCTCCCTCAATCAAGATATCTCTTTTCTTGTTCTCATATCTCTCCTGGGCAGGGTACCTTGTCCTCTCTTAGGATTGGAGGGGGGAAGGGGGAGAGATGGGAGGGAGTGGGAGGAGATGAGAAAGTGGGAATTTAAATTGGTAATTTTCTTAAGTAATAAAATAATTAAAAAAGAACTACCTCCCAATTATTGTGTCATAGAATGGCCAATGTAACACGATTTAGCCAACTCAGTAACAACTATCTCCCTCTCCGTCTCCTCCCCTCCCATCCTCCCTTCCTCTCTCTCTCTCTTTCTCTCTCTCTCTCTCTCTCTCTCTCTCTCTCCCTCTTTCTCTCTCTCTCTCCCATGTACGTGGAGTGTGTGTGTTTGTGTGTGTATGAGAGAGAGAGAGAGAGAGAGAGAGAGAGAGAGAGAGAGAGAGAGGGAAAACAGGACAGATATTTTTAGAAAGGAAAATTGTCTATATATTAGGTTCATCAACTCACTAAGGATAATAGAGGAAATTCATTTTTCTAATACTCAGTAACTTTTGCCAAATGAATATGGTGACAGAATGCTGAGAAGACAGAAGAAGTAAGCAAGCAAAATGCTTACTATGGTGTTTAGGATACAGTAGATCCACAATAAACATTTTTTTTTCTATTACTTTCAGTGATCTCAGACTTTAAAAGTTTCTGTCATTAAATTTATTTTAAAAAAAATAGAGGAGGCTAAACAGAGACTGTTGTCAAAAAAGTTCTGTTCTTTCTCAAGTGTGTAAAATTGGGTGTTTATTTTTTATATAATTATTTGTTTATTTGGGAGCAGGGCACATATACCATGCACATGTGTGAAAGTTAGTAAACAACTTGCAAAAGTCAATTCTCTTTTTGTTCCTTATGCGTTCCAGAGATGGGAGCACAATCATCTTTAGCGTCTGAACCATCTCCCCAGCCCCATAAGAGAAGTTTCACAATGCATGTGCGTGGACTGTGTTTATCAGGAAGCTGAATGCCCCAGCTGTTGTTAACATTAGTATAACATCATAGTACAAGCAAGTTTCTCAGGGAGATCTTGGTGCCTTCTTGGCTCCAACCCAATCAATCAAACCTACACAGAAAGATGTGCAATATTTTTTGTTAAATTTAATTGGGTTATGCAACAAAAACCAGAAAAAAATATTGCTCCTATCAAATTTCTAGTTCTGTTTCATATTTAGATCCCTGTTGCATGCAGTGAATCAAAATGTTATACTGTGGAATATCTATGTTAAAAGCAGGTAGTGCGTCATTCTTTAAGTGGAAGTGCACTTAAATGAGTCCACAATCTTCATTTTACTTGATAGAACCAGTTTCCTGAATTTCTCACCCAGCTGAAGGCTTTGATTTCTATTTGAATTGGATTCCAAGTTGTCTAGACATCAGAAGCTTAACCCTACAGCTTAATCTAACCATTTTGTCAAATCTTTATTGCTGAGGTCAAATAGAAAGAAAAGTAGCTTTTATGAAAAGTCTAATCAAAAGTAACATTATCTTTATACTGTAAGAGAGATTCTGCATTTATCTGAAGACCTGTACTGTCAAATCAAAGGGAAAAAATACTCAAGAAACTTGACTAGATTCCATTTGTTCCTTTTATTTACATATCTTCCTTTCACCTTGAGCCTTCCTTTAAAAAATTCTTTTTTTTATTCTGACAGATAAGAAATTCTCTCTCTCTCTCTCTCTCTCTCTCTCTCTCTCTCTCTCTCTCTCTGTGTGTGTGTGTGTGTGTGTGTGTGCGTGTGTATTTTTCAATTGTTAGGTCTTTTTCTAGATACATCCTCTTTCAATAACTTCCAACACTTCTCCCTAGTTCGACTTAACAAGGTTTCATAGATTTATACAAAGTCACTGAATACCTTTATAGATGTTCTTCTGGAGCTTTTTTATTTGATTATCATGTAAATAGACTAATACAAAGCTATGATGGTGTGATAACCACTATGAATAAAATAGTCTCTTAATCCTCCAGGGTTTTAGAAGTCATTTTCACTGTAGGTAGGAGGGGATGATAATGAAGGTGAGAAATTTCATAGGGACAACACTAAAATAATAAATAAAAATATAAAAATAACCTCAGTGTGAAGTTATAATATCCATCTTATTTCAGCCAAATTGGAAGTAAATTTTCCAATTTACCAATTTTCTTCCAATTGTTTTTGTAGTCTAAGAATTTAATGATGTTAATGGAGTCCTATGATTTTACAGACCAAATTAAGACAAACCACAAACTTGTTGAACATTAAATTAATGCAAATTAAAGTATATTTACAATTAGATTATTGTCATTTAATGGTTATAAGTTATTAAATGGGCTCTAATATTCTTTAAATAATTAAATGATTGAACTTGGTGGTGCCTATCTTAATTCAAGCATACAGGAGGCAGAAGCAGGCAGATCTCTGTGAGTTTAAGGCTAGCCTGGTCTACACAGTGAGTTACAGGTCAGCCTGAGCTGCAGAGTGAGAGGCTCTCAAAACAAAACAAAATAAAATAAAATAAAATAAAAATAAAACAGACATTCTAATTAAACAGATATTAGCATAGGCAATACATATATAGAGACCAAAATTAAATGTAAAAATTTTAATTTAGTTATTAAATGTTTCTTTTTCCATTTAAAATTAAGAATAGGGTACTAAGTAAGAAAACTTTAAAAATAAATAGCTTGGGAAGATTGCTCTGTGGTTAAAGCAGTTACTGCTTGGGTCACATCTTGGTTACTGGGTACCAATGAAATGATAGGCAAATGTTGCAGCTCACCTATAATTTCAGCCTTGGAATGGAGAGACAAAGCATCTCCAGAGCAAATTAGCATTATAGATATCTCTATGTTCAGTTGAGGAACACCATTTCAATGAAAAATGTGGAGAGACAAGAAAGAAGACTTGACATTAACCTCAGGTCTCCACATGCACTTGTACATATGTGTACATGCACGAGCACACATATGTGTCTACACATATTTAAAGAAACACACACTATACACATATACATGCAAAATAGATGAATGTTTTAAAGATTTTTTTAAATAAAATAAAATAGCTAAATGAAATTAGCTTGATGGTTGATCAGAGCTAGATCACCTGGTTAAATGTTGTTGAGTCACAGATACAGGTGTTGAGGCCCCAAGGTTATTGAAAATCACTAGCTAGGCCAGAACAAACGTGGACCCAGAAACTTAGTTTGTAGACTCACATCATCTTGCCTCCATCTCTAACTCAAAAACATCACAAAAGGAAATGGCTGACATGGAATATGCCCAAAATGTGCAATTTATATGATAAGTGGAATATGTCTCCATACACCTATTTTTTATGATAAAAGTACAAATGTTTTAATACTTAAAACACACCTTTCCCTTTTTGTTCCTTTTTTATTAGATTACTTTCAATTCTAAAATATGTGTTAAGATACTAATAATGTTGACATTAAATGAGTTCATATTTACTTTATGTGTTTTTATCTTTTTGTCATTGTTCTTGCTGTTTTTATAAGATATCTCCAAAGATCAGATTCTGAAAATACTGATTAACTTTTCAAAAAAATGCTCAAATTTCTGTGAGCATTTTTACAAATAGCATTCCTCTTTGTTAATTTAATTTTCGGTGTGAGTGTTCTGTTTGCATATATATTTATATGCAAATATATAATATGCATATGTGTGTGTGTGTGTGTGTGTGTGTGTGTGTGTGTGTGTAGCACGTACATGCTTGGTGCCTGAGGAGATCAGAAGTGTCGATCCCTTTGTTCCTGGAATTACAAATGGTTGTAAGCCACCAATGGACATGGGTCTTCTGCAAGAGCAACCCTCATTCGGGCCACTGAGCCAACTTTCCAGCCTCTGCATTATTTCTTAAGATTAAGCTTTAAGGTGCTTTTCACTTGTGTGATAATAACTTAAGATGAATGGTATCTCTTTGAGCTAAATCTCACCTGTTTCTCAATATTCTATACTTTACATTCTTTTCTGGTCTAGTTCAACAATCCTTCCCACCTCAACTACTTTAATAGTTTTTTCAGCTCTCTCCAAAATTAAGTTTTTATTTATTCATTGCTTCATTTGATTTCCTCTTTTTCAGAATAATACCTTAACATTTTGGAATGTATAGCAGAAATAAAAGCATAAACAGGGAACATTCACATAGTCTATCAGATCTCAACACTTTTGTTCCACAACTTACAGTTGATTTGCTATTGTAAGTTGGTACTTTCACTTACTTAAAATGTAATGGATAGTTCAAATTCTTCTTTTATTTAACACTCGAATAAATTGATACTGTTAAAATGTACTGCCAGTGTAGCATTTTGTGAATGACTTTTAACAACTAAGGCACACTGGCTCTTACCTCTTTTGTTTGCTGGTAATCAGGGTATTAATAGAATTTTGGAAAAGATCTCTGACTAGCCTGTTTACTCTGGTTTGTTTGGTTTTTTGTTTGTTTTTACATCCTGGTCCTTTGCAATTTCCCCTCCCTCCACTCCCCTCAGGCCCTTGCCACAACACACCCTCCTCTGTTCCCAATCCCAATCTACTCTTCCTCTTTCTCTGTTTAGGAAAGTGTAGGTCCCCCATGAGTATCAACAGAACATGGCCTGTCAACTTTCAGGGAGTTTCTTAGTTTTACTAGCCCATCTATTGTGTTGTAATCTCAAAAACTTTTTATTAACTCCAAATTCACCCAATAATGGCTCTTATCAGAATATGCTCCCTTAATCCCTTATCAGCAGTATCTGGAGATTCACTTGAAATGCAAATTTAAAGTACTCCTTTCCATTCCTTCTGGGATAGCAATTAATACTTTAATAGGTTTTCCAAGCTTAACATTTGCTGTCAGATCATATGCTTATCATCTATGTCATGTAATATTCTATTTTATTCATAAAGGATAAGAATTCAGTATCTTGGCTCCTGGTGCTGCCTGTGTGCTCCTTCAGTGCGGACCTGGTGCCTCTTTTGTGAAGCGGCAGCTGAGTAGACTCTGGCATTCACCTTGGCCGACAAGAAACCCAAGGAAGGAGTCAAGACCGAGAACATCAACCATATTAATTTGAAGTTGGCGGGGCAGGATGGCTCTGTGGTACAGTTTAAAATTAAGAGGCATACACCACTTAGTAAATTAATGAAAGCCTATTGTGAACGACAGGGTTTATCAATGAGGCAGATCAGATTCCGGTTTGATGGACAGCCAATCAATGAAACAGACACACCTGCACAGTTGGAAATGGAGGATGAAGATACGATTGATGTGTTCCAGCAGCAGACAGGAGGTGTCTACTAAAAAGGGAACCTGCTACTTTACTCCAGAATTTTGTTATAGACCAAGAATACATTCGCAATTAGAAAGCCGCAATTTGGTTCCACCACATCCTGACTACTACAGTATAGTTTTCTCTATTCTTTCATTTCCCTGTCCCCATTTCTTTATTGTACATAAAGTAACTGGTGTATGTGCACAAACATATTGTGCTTTTTCCTTTTTTCTTTTTCCTTTTTAAACTAAATGGCCAATGTTCTGTTTTGATTGCAATCAGATGGAGGTGGTCAGGGGAAAGCACTGGTTCTGTGAAAATACCCCCTCCTCCATTAGTGACATGCTTGTTCAGCTCTTATCTTTATATTCCAGGAAGTTATTTTGCTCTCAATGTTTTAACAAAAGAACCCAACCACAAAATCCTTGCATACCTTGTTCGATTGGAGAATTTTAATGTTTTTCATTTATCATTGTAAAACCAAGGCCAATTTTATAACTTTTTTTGTACGTAGCTGTTACATGTAGGGCAATCTGTCTTTAAGTAGGGATAAATTACTCTTAAACAAAATGATCCTAGATAGTTTTCCCTTCAAGTCAAGCGTCTTGTTGTTTGCATAAACTTCTTGTTTTAAAAAAAGAAAGAACTCAGTATCTTATACAGTGAGAAATTTTAGCACATTTGTCTTCTTTTTGTAAAATTAGCAAACAAAGTAATAGATTTTATTATGGTCTATTCATACATGTTTTTATTAGTCTTTCTCCCCTTGCTTCTTCCGAATCCTTCTGATCAGTTTATATGCTGTCATCCTCAGTAATCCTTTTCTGCCTTCATGCCATATGTGTCTTATTTATCTCCCTTAACCTTCCTCATGTTATCTCCTTAACATTCCTTCGGTTGACCGGGATTGGGGGAAGGGAGGAAGGATGAATATGGGATCAGGGAAGAATATATTTCAACTAAGGGAGTCATTTTAGGGTTTATAGGAAACTTGATTATATATGGGATCCCAGGTCCAAGGAGAGATCCCCAGATTGTTCTCTGGACAGAGGAGAGGGTGCCTGAACCGGCCTTCGCCCATAACCATGCTGATGAATATTTTGCTTATCACCATAGATCCTTCATCTGGCGATGGATGGCGATACAGACGGAGACCCGCATTGGAGCACCGCACTTTTTATTTTTTCTTTCTTTGAGAAGTTTCCCACAGATTGGAGCAGTGATTACACCAGCTAACCCTCCTACTGGTAGTGGGTCCGTTTTTACTACATTCTCTCCAGTATCTGTTTTCATTTGCTAACTTGATGAAACCATTGTGACTGGGGAGAAAGTGAATCTCAAAGTGGTTTTCGTTTTCATTTCTCTACAGGCTAAAGATGATAAACACTTTTTAAAAATTTTTGTATATTTCTGTTTCTTCATTTCCGAGTTGTTTAACTCATTCGTCCATTTGTTGACTGGCAACTTGGAACCTTTTGTGTTATATAATTTCTGCATTAATTCTTTCATTTATTCACACAGTTCATTAATTCTTATATTTATTTCCTCAGTTCCTCTTACTAATTGCATAGTTTATTCTCATGCCTTGAGTCTGTACTGCTTTACAGCTTCATAGGCAGCTGAAAGTGATTGTGTACCAGTACTGAGATTAGGCTCCAAGAGCCCTCACACATTTCCACTTGTGTTCTTTTTCATCTTATCCATTCAGTCATTCATGTATGAATATATCCAAACTATGATGTTGGAGAGACGGTTCAGTGATTAAGAGCACTTCTTGTGGAACAACCAGATTCAGTTGCCAGTACCAACATGTTGCCTAACAAAAGTCTGTGGCTCTAGTTGCAGAGGCCTAGACAACAACATTTAGTGGACACTGTGTTGTGTGGGCACTACATACACATGGCTCATAAGCATACATTCAGGTATAATGCCCATGCACATTTTCTATTTTTAAAAAGTGTATAGTCAGACCGACTTTCTCAGTGATGAGGATATGTGAACTAAATTGAGGACTCTATCTTAAATGACAATAGGCAGTATCAACTAATAGCCATCCAAGTCTTTAATGAGGTCAAACTTATTGGATACCTAAACATTTTTTCTTTGTAAGAAGACATGGTTGTAAGCTTCTGAGATTTGTGTGTTGTCCTACGAGTTATCTGCAAATGAATCAAATTTTAACTTCTATTCTGATTTGGTACAGTTGTTTCTCCTTGATTTAAACATTTGCTTCTTAATGATATTAGCTAATAAAAACTGACCCAATCTGACAAGATGTATGTACAGGTACGTTTTGAAATACCCTTTGAGAATGCCCAGCACAAATTTCTTTCTATTTAAGGGTGAAATAGACATTGGGTGATTGTCGCTTTGTAGAATGGAAGACATTAAGACAATGAATCTAACTCAATATCATCTTGATGGCTTCAGTATTCTACAAATATAGTAATATAGAACTTGAAGAAGTAAGATAAGACAAACACTATGGAATAGGAAACAGTCTTACTAAAGTTTATATCAAGTGAAATGTCCTCTATTGTGAAGACTCCCTAGTCTACCTTCTTTTTTTTTCCTTTTCAGAGAGGCAGATCAGGATTTGACTATAACTCTTTAGCTAACTTTAAAGACATGCGATCATTTTCAAACTCAATCATCTGTGGCTTACCTTTCGTACATTCAGCTTTTATGTCTTGGTCTTCTTACAGTCAAACCTGTTGAAATAAATTCTGCCTTCTTTGTGAATAATACTTTTCAAATTATAACAATGGCATATCATAAATAGTACCTTCCAAAGCAGACAGAAATGCATTTTATCCAGCTTTCACGCCCCATTCAAAAAGAAATCTATTTTCTAATTAAGCTCTACATTTATTTTTCTATGACTGACAGAATTCATCATTACAGATAGAATATTTATTATGAAATTGTATCGATTTTATAGTTTTTTTAAGCATCAAGTATAGGGCACAGCCCAGAAGTATGTTTTGATGAAAATTTAGATGCCATTGTTCTCTTCCTTAAATTTGAATTACTTTTTAATGGTATGCTAATTGCCTTAAAGAGTTCCCAGAGTTTCTAAAGGTATAGAACTTTAGTCGAAGTAGCAGCTGGAATCCTAGGAAAATCACCTTTATTTTAAGACAAGAGTTCTTAGTATTTGAAGGTCTTCAGCAACCTTCCAGGTGATAGAGAGCTCTGGGTTCTTCATTCTGCTTTCATGGATTTTAATTTAGGTTTTGGAGTAGGCCTATATTTTGCATATATAAGCAGACACTAAGGTATGCCCTACACAATAAATATTTTTAAAGTGATTCATGCTGTTCCTATTTTCTGGGATTTCAACTACAAAATATAGTGTAAGATAAGTAGATATTCAGTACCTTTTAAAAGAAGAGATTAATTATATGCTTTTCTTAAAAATCAAATCATCTACTTAGCCTTGTGGCAGAATCCCTGAAGCAATACTGCTGATATAAATAAGATTATCAAAAAATTTTATGAAGCTCAAATCCATTGAATGTGTGGTTACAGCCAGTGCTCAAAACTGGGTTTGAGCACCAATACTAATTAAGCAATTTGAAAGAGTCAAATTAATAATAGAAAGCAGAAAAAGGAGATCTATTCCATGTGGCCATACTTGGAAGAGTCACAAACAGTAACATTCTAGTGAATCCTCTAAGTCTGTCATGCAGTAGGTATCTGAAGTGATGTTAAAGTTTAAAAAGAGAAGCAAATATATGTACATTTAATCAGTCCTAAGTAAGGTATAGCACCATTTGTCACTGACCCATCTTTGCCTCAGCTTCACTGTCATTCTGTAAGAGGGTCCATTAGGTTATTAGAACTGTTATGAAATTTCTTCCCGGGAAACAAGTTCTGCCTTTGTCTGTAGCCTATTATTTTTCTCCCGGCACATTATTCCTGAGGGATTTCCATTTCTTTGGGGTTCACTGTTTCAATAAACTAATTATCAGATTCAGAGACAGATGTCTCTTCAGACTATCTTCAGTTCTTCTAGGTCAGTTACTCAGAGAGGTGTCTACACAGGCTAGAAAAGTGCTGCAAATCACATTTTTATTATCATTTTATTTCTCTCAGAGAGCATATAATGAGGTAAAATACACAGAACTGTTTTAAAGTTCAAAACTAACTTACAAATACAAGAATTATTCTTTTGAACTTACAGAATAGGACCTTCAAAGCAATTTCTTTATCATTAATATTTTTTGATACGTAGTTGTTGATATGGGTAAGGTACAATTGGGACTGATGCAAGTAAGATATTAAATGACAATAGTTCCTGAGAAATGTAAGAGAACATCTTTCTAAGTTATGTGTCAGGATGTATCTAAGATAGCTGTGAAATGATGAATAGCCTGAGGCATTCACTTTTTAAAAATTCTGAAAGCATTACACCATAGAGAATCCTTGATAACCTGCTATGGAATGAACTGGTTACAAAGACTGAACTGTCTATGAAGATCCCAAAGAATAAAGGTTATAACATGTGAAAAAGGAAGTGTATAAGAGCATATTTCATATTAAGTGGCTATCACAAACCAAATATGAGATGATGTACATGTAAATTCTTTGAAAAGTTTATAGTGCTACAAAAAAATCAGGGATGGTAACAAATGAAATAATTACTTTCAAAACTTTCACCTGAGGAATGAATTTACTTGACTGTACAATGTAAGCTGAGTTACTGCATCCAGATAGTTTGGCATTCTGGAACATTGTACCTTTAGAATAATTTTTGTTTATTTGAAATTTGTATCAATCTTCTGAGGCTGATTCTTGGTGCATGCTTAGATTGTGAATAAGGGTCAGGACACACTTATCTATTCAGGGCCTTGACTCACATTTTCCTCTTGGAACCATCTTATTTGTACTGGGGAGAACACTTAGAGAAATCTTACCAAGTGGGTTAATGTCTCAAATGACTTCTAATTTTCAAAAATAATTTTCCGCGTCTACTAACCAGGAAGTTCATTATTAAAAATCCATAATGCCATCAGAGCTCTAGATCATTTATAAAATAGAATATAAACCTTTAGATGGTTGTTTGGTTTAAGAAAAATAGTTGCTTAGTTCTTTTTATAATTTCATATATATAGAGAGATAGATATTGAGAATCACCCCTGCTTTACTTCCTTTTATTCCCCCTCCCATTGAGGGAGAAATTATTTGGGGGAAAATTACTTCTT